AAATTTTATCAGCAATATATATTAGTTTAATTTAATTTAATATCAATATAAAATTTAAAAAATATATACGTAATAACTCGTTTTCTTTAGTTTTAATAATTAAGCATGAAAATTGAACTTCAATGTTTTAATTCTATTTTTTTTTAATCAGGAATATTTTAAGTCTAATTGAAACCTTAGAGAATTAAATGTATATATATTTTATTTTAGACGAAAACTAAAATAAATAATCTAGAATTAGTTATAAAAAAAATCCTTTCAAGGGTGACTGATCAAACATTGGCACGTTATTTTTCAGAACTTCCGAAATTCTAATTCTATCTTATAGTAGTATTTTCAAAGGAAAGTCAAACCTCTTGAAGTCAATTAGAATAGCCGGCTTCTTTGTTTCATATTAGTATTACAGTTTTCTTCTGCATAATCATTATATTGAACTGAACATTAGAGTATATATTATAGGGAAAAAAAATTAAACTTATACGGACTTGGGCCTTTAATATGTCTCTCTCTACCACTCTCCAATACGCTTTGTGTTATCCGAACTCCAAAATGTTTTTTTTCCCTTTTTCTTTTTGTCATTAGACTATAATAAAAGGAGTAACATTATAATATATTTAAAAATTGTGCAATTTTGATTTATTTTATTTAAAAATAAAAAAAATTAAAATTGTACCATTTCTTTATCATAACATATCACAATATCACTTATTTTATATGGACTCTAATGATAAAAAAATTTAAAAAAAATATTTGGAAAGTTGCGGCACAGATCGTTATTAGAGGCTCCCAACCCACTCTGTATGATTAAGATATTTGTTCTCAATAAAATCAAATCAATATATGTGAATTTTAAAATATCATTAATATTATTAGTATTTTAAAATTTACTTGTTCTATTTTGATTATTCGGTAAAAAATATAAGTATATAAATCTAATACCTGAGTCATTCCCTATATATGTTATATTGCTTTTCAAAAGATTTGTTAAAATTTCATCTTAACTTTCTTATGACTTCTATCAAAAATTATAACTAACTCTTTCAGAACTTTTATACACAATATTGGAGGAAGCTCTCTTTCAATTAACGTTCTATAAAAAAAATTTACATTTTACATAAATTATGCCTTCATTTTCTTTTCGGTAAGACAAGGAGTGTATCCTCCTTGCTATTAAAGACTCTTCTGTCTCAAGTTAGGCAAGATAATGCCTAAACTGCTTTACATTGAACTTGATTCCTTTTTTTTTTTTTTAAATATTTTGATGGACATAACTGTAAGCATAATTAAATAATTTATTTTTCAAAAACGAATTCTATATAAAAGGTTAATATCATCCATATAAAATAAATAAAACTTTTCCTTTATAAAAATATCAGTATTTTAGGATCTGCACAAAATTTTTAAAATTTAGGCAATGCAATTATTTGTGTGTCAAAAGGGCAGTGCAATTATATAATAAATATTTTATAAATATTTTTTACTGCTAGTATAAAAATAGAGGACATAAGTGCCATGAAGCATATTGTTCTAGGTGGAAGATAAAGTATTCCATTATTTATTTTTTGTTTGGCCTTTCCTCTTTTACGTGTATTGGTTGTTTTGGATTAGTTTGTGGATGTTTATGCTTTATATCTCTTAACTTTTCTATCTTATTTCTTTTAGCCATAACTTTCGTATCGATGTGGTAAGTGGAAAAAAAGTCATCTTTCCAACAACTTTTGTCCAATTACAAAAAGCCAAAAAAAAAAAAAAACTAAATCAATAAAGGTTTTGCCTTTTGTATTCATTTTCATAGTGACGATTTAAACAATATAATTCTCCAGTTTTGGAATATAGCAGCTAATTAGAAAATTAATATTAGTTTTATATATAAAACCTATTTTACATGTTTATTAATTTTTTTAAATTAACTATATTGATATTCTCCCAATAATAATTAAGTAAGAGATGGAGGAAGAAAGAAAATTAAGAAAGATACCTAGGATTTTTTAAAAAAAATTATCATATTAACTAATTTAACTAATATTTTTAATTTACTCAAATTAGTTAATTAAGTATTATAATAAGGACAAGAGGAGTGGCATTTATTATCTTAAAAAATTAAGAATTAAATTGCATGGAGTTAGTCGAACTTTGACCCGCATATAAATATTTATTTATTATTAAAGTTTATGGGTAAATAGTTGTTTTTAAGTCCAGAAAATGTTAAAATCAACTAACGTATAAATATTTATATTTATATTTAATTAAATGTATATTTAATTTATAATAATTAATGATCATTTTCACATATCATGGGTAGAATTTAATTGAGAAATGAAATAGTAATTGACTACAAAAGTCATATAGTTATCATGACATGATGTCGTTAAAAAGGCTGGAAGTCAGCCCTACAGCAATTTATTACCTGCCAGTTATGCTTCTATTAAAATTTTCAACAATAAGAGAAAGTTAACCGCCTTTTTCCAATATTAGCCCGCTTCTTAAAATAAAAGTTGAATAACTAATTAGAAGAGATTAATTGAGTTAGTTATTTGTAATAAATGTGTATTAACTCTCTTAAATTACCTTTATCAAATTATATGCATTGAAACTATACTTAATAAAAATACCTTACAATCAATAAAGATATTTTTTAGAACACATTATAAATATGACAGATAAAGTAGAGTGAATATTATATTTAGATTTTATTTATGATTAAAATTTTCAATAATGTAAATATAAAGTTACATATATACAATTTTTTTAAAAATCATTTTCAAATAAATTTTTATTTTAATTAAATTGAAGCAATTTTTGGACCCATTTCAAATAATTTATAAGTAACATTTTAATCCTAATACCTCTCTGGTCCTAAATATAAAATCCTTATAGTAGTATATACTAGTATAAGAGTTTTATATTTAGAATCAGAAGAGTATATGAAAAGAGTTTTAGGTTCCCTAGTATGAAATATACTTATAAAGTTTTTTGTAGTGTCCCAAACAGGGCCTTTGTCAACCTGTCCAGGCAACGCGGATGGCAACGCCCCAGTCGTCAAACTGCTACGACACGTCCGCACGTGCTTGTCTACGTGGCGCGCAGTACAAACTCAAAGGCCCGGAAGTACAATGGCTCATCGGTCAATTAGGAATTGTTGAAGGGCAATATCGGGAATCCGTATATCTGTCCTACCAACAGCCCCCACCTGCTCCTCAGCACCTTCCACTTAGTTGAAAAATTGCTGTCTGATGTCTCACCCATTCCCCCGCGAAACAACCTTTCCTCACCTTTCCTTTCCTGTGGGCTCTGTTTCTCGCATTAAGCGAAAATTACACTTTCTTCCCTATAAATCCAATCACTAGTACTTTAATCCTTGCCGTCTTTTTATTTATTTATTATATCATTTTTATTTTTATTTTTATTAACATAAATTACTCCAAAGTATGGTACTCAGAGGCTACACATCAAAGAGCCTTCTGATTATACTACGTTTGCTTCTTAATGTAAGATATTGTTTAATTTTTATTTTGATCCTAAATATAAGATCCCAACTCACTTTGTCTCTCACATTCATATATTTTTTTCAAGGTAGTCCTTCTAACAATGGTAGTTCTAACCAATATACTTGATTAGCAAGGATATTTTAGGAAAGAAACATATTTATTACAAATAAATAACTTAACTTCTTTCCTTAATCTCCTAAATTAGTCAACTAACTCTTATAATTAAAACCGAAGGTAGTATCATATTTAGAGCAATTTTTCTTTATATAAAAAATATAGGAAAATTAGTTCTTACATAAATTAGTTGGCTTACTCTAACAATTCTTAATATAAAATCTATTTATTTAATTTGAATAGATTAATAAAATTGAATAAATTGACTGATTATAATATATATGACTTATCTTTTTTTAAATTTTGTGTAATATTTGACTATATATCATTTTATAAATTAGATAAATTACTTTTAAAAAATAATAAATATGAGAAATAAAATGAATTAAAATAGTATATTAGTATATTAAAAATTAAAAATTAAAAATTAAAAATACACCCTTAACTAAATTATACATTTAGCACCCGAAAAAAATTATACATTTAGCATCCTAGGAATTCGAGTAGTTATTTGGTTGTTTTTTGATTTAACGATGTAATGGGATTTTTGATAATTAATTTTGCTGTGGTTTCTCGTTTTTTCAGTTTTTATTTGAGATTTGTCCAAGAAAAACAATGACACGACTTGAAAAATTTAATTATATCATTAAAATTTGTTAAAAATTAAAATCTTGAAATTATGGTGATTAAATAATTAATAAATTTGAAATTATGAAAGTTTTAAATTATTACCTCTAGTCCTTAATATAAGAGTTCATTTGACTTTTATTTGGTTCTAAATATAAAATCTAAATCCACTTAGTTTTTTATATTTATCTTTTTTTAAAAGATAGTCCTTGTATTAATAGTAGTCCTAACTAATATATTTAATTAGTAACAATAATTTTAAAAAATTAATACTTATTTATTATAAATAATTAGTTTTTATATTAAGAATAGGAGGTAGTATTAAAATTAAGACCACGTTACTCAAAAGTTGAATGACAATCTGGGGTCAAAATATAATTTTCGGTTTTTCTTCATTTTCTGCCGCATTCTTTATATTGTCATTTCTCACGGCTCAGTTCGGTACCAGCACCTTTGCAATGGCGCCTAGTGCAAGAGACCTCCAGTTAACTCCTCTTGCCGGTGGCCGTGAAGCTACTTCCGCCGTTGATCCCGGCGACCTCGAGGACGTCCGGCTCTTGGACTCCTATGACAAAACGGATTGTTCATATGGATCTGAAGACGGAATCAAACGGATTCAGGTCAGAGTCTCTGGCATGACTTGTGCTGCCTGCTCCAATTCCGTGGAATCAGCTCTCAGGGCCATTGATGGCGTGCTCAGTGCTTCCGTGGCTCTGCTTCAGAATAAGGCTGACGTCGTTTTCAACTCAAGTCTGGTCAAGGTTACTATTTCCTTGTTTGGCATTAATTAATGATCAACTCTTTGATTTGAAATGCTATTTGCAGGCTAGATTTCGCTCTCAGATTTGGGTTGTTTAGTCATTGAATGTTATACTCATAGATTTCCTGTCTCGTGATCGCCTTTTTCTACGTTAATCAAGGACATACATTTTTATTTGTCATGGACATGTTCTTATTATACCTGACTGGTTTCTGTCAGATATTTGAATAGAGAAGTTTTTATGCATAATTATGGTTTATGCTTCACATTTTTGTTTCCAAGTTCCGACCTCTCCATTTGTCTACTTCACGTGCTCGGTGATTATATCTTAGATAGACGTGTTCATTTTAAGGCATCATGTACTTGACTTTTATATGTTCAAGATGCATCACATTTTAAATTGTATTCATAGTGCTTGACTTCGAACAATTACTTTCTAATTATGAACGTTGTGTATTTCGTAAGTTACTTTTGTGTGTGTCTTTCCTTTCCTTATGAACATTATAGTATATGATTAATTCTGGAGCAAGCAAAGGACATGTTAGTTAGCTGTACGCTCTTCGATGGCTACGATGAGCTATGATTGATCCTCTCTATCTATCTTATACTATCTCAAATCACGCTCTTTTAAACTGATGCATGTCTCCTCTTCTTGTAGCGTATATACTGCTTTGATACTAGTGAAACATAATATCACAATCAGAAGCCACTCCGCCAGGTCTCTTTCACCATTTCTGAAAACTGCAAAATGATTATGCTTCTTGAATGTCAGAAATATGGACACCTGCAAAAATGGGCTGAAAAAAAATTCGGAATCGTACTTAATGCGAATGGTAAATTTGGAGGGAGGACGAGAGAAGAAGGGAGAGAGTTAGTAGAGATTGTTTGAGCCCACCCACTCTGTTTCCTTCTCTCCTTTCCTCTTTCCAAATTTACCTGGCGTGTCACTTGGTAAACGTAGAGAACGTTAGCTGAAAAGCCAGTCATTTATGCTGTTCAGAGTTTCAATATTTCTTTAGTAACTCATTTTCATGAAGGGGTGATGAAGCTTATATTAAGTATATATTGAAATATATTTTGGACTTTTTATGAAAACCAGGACGAAGACATTAAAAATGCAATTGAAGATGCAGGATTTGAAGCAGACATACTACCTGAGACCAGTACAGTTGGAACAAAACTGCAACAAACCCTGGTTGGACAGTTCACAATCGGTGGTATGACATGTGCAGCCTGTGTAAATTCTGTTGAAGGTATTTTAAGGAATCTTACTGGTGTCAAAAGGGCTGTTGTAGCTTTGGCAACTTCCTTGGGGGAAGTTGAATATGATCCTACTATAATTAGTAAAGATGATATAATCAATTCAATTGAAGATGCTGGTTTTGAAGCTACATTTGTACAGAGCAGTGAGCAAGATAAAATACGTCTGGGGATTGTTGGTTTGTACAGCCTGACTGATGCACAAGTTTTAGAAGGCATGCTCAGCAGCATGAAAGGAGTAAAGAAGTTTCATTTGGATCAGATATCATGTGAACTGGAAGTTCTTTTTGATCCTGAAGTTCTCAATTCTAGATCCCTAGTTGACGGGATTGAAGGAGGAAGCAATGGGAAGTTTAAACTACAAGTTAGGAGCCCGTATGCAAGAATGGTCTCTAAGGATATTGAAGAGATCACAACTATGTTTCGACTTTTTACCTCAAGCCTGATTCTAAGTGTGAGTACCTTAGTCCTTTGCTCTCTTATACCTTCATGAATCTTCATTGGACACCTTCTGAAATGTTTTATCTTTGTGCCTTTGTATCAGATTCCTTTCTTTCTCATTGGTGTAGTTTGTCCTCATATACCAATGATATACTCCATACTGCTTTGGAGATGTGGGCCTTTCCTCATGGATGATTGGCTGAAGTGGGCATTAGCTAGTATTATCCAGTTTGGGATTGGAAAGCGCTTCTACATTGCAGCTGGCAGAGCTCTTAAGAATGGTTCAACTAACATGGACGTGTTGGTTGCTTTGGGAACTACTGCTTCGTATGTCTATTCTGTTTGTGCTCTTCTTTATGGTGCCCTTACTGGATTCTGGTCTCCGACATATTTTGAAACAAGTGCCATGCTCATAACATTTGTATTGTTGGGGAAGTATTTGGAATGCCTTGCAAAGGGGAAGACGTCAGATGCCATCAAGAAGTTAGTAGAATTGGCCCCTGCAACGGCTTTGTTGGTAGTCAAAGATAAAGGTGCATTTAATTTTCCTTTTTCTGTGCTTTGTATTCTTAAAGAAATATAGATGGTGAAAAGTCTTCAAGATGGCAAACAAAAAAATTATTCTTCAGGCTTTGATTATCTTATTTGAGTTGCCAGCTCTTGATTGAAGGCCATATTGTTTACTGTCTTCTAGATTGCAGTGTAACATTATACTCGAACTTGAGAATTAATAGTTTAAATTTATTGCTTTTTTAGGTGGTAAACCTGTTGAAGAAAGGGAAATAGATTCATTGCTCATTCAGCCTGGTGACACTTTAAAGGTTCTTCCTGGTACAAAGATTCCTGCTGATGGAATCGTTACATGGGGCTCAAGTCATGTAGATGAGAGTATGGTAACTGGTGAAGCTGTGCCTGTTTCAAAGGAAGTTAATGCATCTGTTATTGGAGGTACTATAAATTTACATGGTGTCCTTCACATTCAAGCCACCAAAGTAGGAGCTGATACAGTTTTGAGTCAGATAATTAGTTTGGTAGAGACAGCTCAGATGTCCAAAGCCCCTATTCAGAAATTTGCTGATTATGTAAGTATTCTGATTATGGTTTGGTTTGATTGTGCTGCAGTGGGCAATCCACTTATGTTTCATTGGTTTTAGTGTTAAATAATTTGGCTTTTTTTTTTGGCGTTTTTCATAGACTAAAGTTGATTTTCTTTTCTGTTAGCTTGTGCAGTGTTTCCAGTGTTCAGCAAACTGTTTCGTGCTTTTGCATGGCCTGGTTTTTGTCAACTGTTCATGATTGCAGTAATTTAAAATTTTTAAAAGAATGCTAAATGATCAAGCTTTGTGATTTAAAATTCTCATTGATGCATAGACCTGCTCTGCTAGGGCTTTATTCAATATCTTTCATTTCTTGGCAAAGGGAGGGGAGGATAGTTAAATTTGATTCTGATAGACACCAGCGTCCTTTATTGATGTGTTGCAGGAAGAAAAGTGGGAACAAGGGGTAGTTTTATGACTAGTTAACTTTTATGTTTTAAATGGTAGTTATATGCAGTTGTTATTATCCAGATATGTAGGAGTTATCTTTCAGTTATTGTTGGTTATGAGGCTTGCTATAAGAGCCTAGTATGTAAGAACTTCCATTATGAAATGAATTATTATTCAGTAAATTCTCTTTCTCCCATCTAGAACTCCAGATTCTGGTTCTAGGCTTCTCATTCTTCCCTTCTTTTCTTCTCTCTTCTTCTAAACCTTCTCCATACTTATTCCTACCCTAACAATTTTGCATCAGAGACCTAAAGAATCTTGGGCTGTGGTGGTAAAATGGTGTACACACCTCATGAAAAATGACACAACCAACCCTCCTCTCCTTCCCACACCTACTTCTCATGATTCTCCTGGTACCCCAACTAATGACCAGCAAGCAACTTCATCCCAAGATCAACTTTTGCAGCAGTTATTTCTCATAGCGGAATTAAGTGGTGGACATGGTGATTGTTCTGTCTCCAGTGTTTCTCTATATCTTTTAGTTTAGCATAACTCAGCTGACAAAAGGCTTTGAATAGCAATCAGTAAGCATGTGGTTAGTTTCTGGGATGCTTTCTTCCATGAAACTATTTGTAAAATGGGACTTCTTGAATCCACTCATTTGAAATTTAGGTTCATTTCGTAGTTATAGTGGCTAAAAAACTGTTACTTTACATTGTTCTATCGTTATAGTAGTAGAGGCAGCGTTGCCCTTAGCTGTAGTTTTAAATACAACTCAATTACCTTTCTTTTATCTTGCAGGTAGCAAGCATTTTTGTGCCTACGGTTGTTTCTTTGGCATTGTTGACGTTATTGGCTTGGTAAGTTCACAATGACTTGTTTTGGCACATTGATAAAAATATATTTTTATTGTAATTGCAATGTTCAATTCCTTAATACTGTCTTAACACTTCTGGTTTACCATTCATAGGTATGTTGCTGGAGCCCTGGGAGCTTATCCTGATGAATGGCTGCCAAAAAATGGAAATCACTTTGTTTTTGCTCTTATGTTTGCAATATCTGTGGTGGTGATTGCATGTCCCTGTGCACTCGGGTTGGCAACACCAACTGCTGTCATGGTAGCAACAGGAGTTGGTGCTAAGAATGGGGTGTTAATTAAAGGAGGAGATGCCTTGGAAAAGGCTCAGATGGTGAAGTACCTAATATTTGATAAAACGGGCACTCTGACTCAGGGAAAAGCCACTGTTACGACTGCCAAGGTATTCACAGGAATGGAACGGGGAGAGTTCCTTACACTTGTGGCTTCTGCTGAGGTGACTTCCAATTCCTTGATCACCAGTACTTTTGCTTGCTTTGGTTATTGTTGTCTTTTGCTGCATGAGCAGATTAACTTTCCCTACAGGTTTATGCATTATGTCTTAAAAGATAAAATTAGAAACAATTTACCATCTATGACAAAGTGTGTGTGTGTGTGTTTTGTTGGTTGGGGGGAATGGTTGGCAAGGAAACATGGTTGATACCATGTTATCACACACTAATTGTTTTGCTATTAGTACTTACAATCATATTAGTTGTGAGTAAAATCAGAAAAATGAATATTTTCTTGTCTTTTTTTTTGTCCCTTGAGTCAGGCTAGCAGTGAACACCCGCTGGGGAAGGCAATAGTAGAGTATGCGCGCCATTTTCATTTCTTTGATGAGTCATCTGCAGCAACTGGTACCAAAGATGCTGCCAAGGAGATTAAAGCTGGATGGCTTTATGATGTCTCAGACTTCTCTGCTCTTCCAGGAAGGGGTGTCCAGTGCCTTTTACATGGGAAGCGTCTTCTGGTGAGACCTTGTGAAAAGTGTCCAAATTTATTTCTTAAATGCTGTGAATTATGCTTCATATATTCTTAATAGTTTCTTATCAGATGAAGAATGTCCTGAACAGGTTGGCAACAGGAAGCTAATAGTGGAAAGTGGCATAAATGTTCCAACCCAAGTGGAAAAATTTGTGGTGGAGCTGGAAGAAAGTGCGAAGACAGGGATACTTGTTGCATATGGTGATGAATTAATTGGCGTCTTAGGGGTTGCAGACCCACTGAAAAGAGAAGCTTCTGTGGTTATAGAAGGCCTCCGGAAAATGGGTGTCAGGCCTGTTATGGTTACAGGAGATAACTTGAGAACAGCTCAGGCTGTGGCCAAGGAGGTGGGTATATGTTTATTTAATGGTTGGCTCTTAAAGAGTCCTCTGAGAACTCATCTAATTTATATGCTATGCTCAATATGTCTAGGTGCAGCATCTGAGCTAGATTTGCACCGAAAATACCCAGTTCTTTTGTATGAGTTATAGAGGTTTTAGTGCATGAAGTTCCATAACTCAAGTTGAATCTTTGACGGGAATAATCGGATGTATGAGTTAAAAGAGTAAAAAAGAAGTATTATTTGGCTTGTATACTTTCCTCTTTTCCAAGAGAAATGGTTTGATTTTCAATTTACAACTTTTAACCACTCTTGTTTGAGCTCTGTTAAAGACTAGTTCAACCTAAAAGATTAAATTGTTCGTGAACAGTTCATGAATAGCTCTATTATACACATTCTTTCACACCAAAGCCTGCTGGCCTTAAGGTCCATTTGTGCAAATTTCATTTTAATGAAGAACAGAGATATTAAGAATCGAACTCTTGATTATTTGGTCATCTAGGCTAATGAAACCATTTGAATTTGACCTGGTAGTATTAGATGCTAGACACTTGTATAAGAAAAATGTTTTGTTTGACAGGTCGGAATCGAAGATGTAAGAGCAGAGGTGATGCCAGCAGGGAAGGCTGAGGTTGTTCGTTCATTCCAAAAAGATGGAAGCATAGTGGCAATGGTGGGTGATGGAATTAACGACTCTCCCGCATTAGCTGCTGCAGACGTCGGCATGGCAATCGGGGCTGGCACTGATATTGCAATAGAAGCTGCAGACTATGTACTGATGAGAAACAATCTGGAAGATGTGATCACAGCCATTGATCTCTCGAGGAAGACATTTTCTCGGATTCGATTGAACTATGTATTCGCAATGGCTTATAATGTTGTTGCTATCCCGGTTGCTGCTGGGGTTCTCTACCCTTCATTAGGGATTGAGCTGCCTCCTTGGGTTGCTGGTGCATGCATGGCTCTCTCATCTGTTAGTGTTGTTTGCTCTTCTTTGCTTCTTAGGAGATATAGAAAACCCAAACTTACCACAATACTTGAAATAGTTGTAGAATAACTAGAAATTTGTGACAATGCTTGAGCTTGGATTAGTCCGTAAAGCCAGTAACGGTTAATACCAAAAGAAGAAATTAATGAAAAAAGATCATAGATTTTTGTGTTAAGTGTATAAACGAGTTGATTTGGGGATATGTAATTCCAATTTTTGTGCATTCCCCTCAACTGAGTGCACCACCTCCTGGGGGTTTCATTTGTAAATTTGCACATCTGTTATTATTACAAAGCTCTCTCTCTCGGTCGCTCGCTCAATCTCTCTCTCTCTCGCACACAACATTTAGAGGGGAAAAAAAAGGAAAAAAGGGGGAAAAGTAATGACTCCTAAATTGTGAAGCATGAGTAATGACTAAGAAACTGGTTGACATATGCATTCTCTATCCGTTCATTAACGTACTTTTCTCCTTTCGCCTTTAAAGTTAAACTACTTTTATTGGATATAATGTAAATGATACACTATCTCAGGATCCTTAATGGAATAGTTAGATAACTAATTTACAAACATTAAAGAATTAGTTAAGTCTGTTATTTATAACAAATGAATGTTTTCTTTCTTAAAATATTGCTATTAATTATGTGTTGTGAAATGATTCCTTTATGAAAACTCTTTAATATATGCAATATTTATAAGGATTACTTAAGATCAAAATGGATAAATATTAGAGACGAAATGAATTGAGATATTATATTTAAAATTAAATTAACTCTTTGACTAGTTCTTACATTAAAGACAAGAAATAGTAATTCACATGTCGCACGAGAATATGCAAAATATATCCAAACAGCCATAGGCTTATGATCGTCACAATTTATATCAATTACAACGCCCAAAATTAAATCTAAATATATGCATAAAATGCATTTATCACGTTATAGTTCATCATCAAGAGCTAGGAGCGTGTGTGAATGTTTTGTACCTAATCAAATGAGAACAAGCAGGTCAACGAGGAAAGAATTAGCCTTTGCATAAAAATGATAAAATGCATAAAACCCGTCTTGAGAGAACCGTTCTACAAAAGTATGATACTTTAAAACAAAATCGTAACCCCTTAAGATCCGTCTAATATTCATCAAACAAACCTACGAAATCTTCATGGACGATCATTCATGAAATTTCATGTGAAAGAGATATAATAAAATAAGGTTTCCTTAATTGACCTTTGAAAGCCGTCATAGTTAGCGTCAGAACATATATAAATCTAACTTATCATCCCCATATAGCTGAGGTCATGGCAAATTAAAGCAAAGTCAAAATTCAAAGAAAAGAACAAGTGCCAGTGGCAAATAAGTAAATAAATAACTAAAGTTTTATGTTATATCTCCATTTCATTATCAATCTATTTTTCTTCCTTCGTTCTCCGTCATTTATGCAATCCTTGCGAGTGTTTTATCCTTGACCCCATTTCGTCACCTTTCCAAGGTTTCACACTTCCTCTGTTTTGAACTGGATCTTTTCTTTCCAATGAAAAGGCCACAAAAGAATCCACAAGAAACTAGCCGGCAACGGACCAAATATGATTCAAATCGTCAAAGAGAATGGCCCTACACTTCGTGAGGAAAATATCCATGTAAATAACAAGTAGACTGAGAATATGATTTTGAGAAAAATTAAGGGATTGGAGCCTTTAAAGCAGATTTTCAATCATGAATGTGCTTGTAATAAGCAACTCCAAATAAACACTAATATTGATTAGGCATATATAGAGCTTCTGTAAAATTGTTGAAGACGGCTATTTTTCGTTATCATTGGTTCCAAAACTTAGGCTAATTCCTTCATGGATCCCCATTAACTCAGCAAAAATGGGGGTAAATGTATCATAGTTTTAATTTGTAATGAAGCCAATTTTTCAAGTTCCTTTTTTTAGGCAGCCCCAATATATAAGATTCACCACTTTGGGTCATGGAGTTGTCTGAGTTTGATCCCATCCAGCCTTTCTAGGGAGGGAGTTATCTTGAAAGTGAGACATTATAGCTGGATTGAGGATGTTTTTTAAGAGATTGGGGTTTAATATCATCGATCATACTTTGAGTCGCTTAGAAGGCGATATATCCTTCTTAGTTGTTAGCTCATTGAAAAAATTTTCTTCGCTAATTCGTCATTTGTCATTATTAGTGACAAAATTTTGTCAGTGATAAAATATCTTTTTTACTATGAAATCTTTATAATGTGTTTTTGATAATGTTTTAAACAGAATTATATTCAATAATATAATACCTATATATCATAAGCGAAAAGAAAAATAAATTAAAGAATCTTATGCTATCTTAACCATGAAGTATTAAGAGAAGAGGAAACAGTAAGGGAGAAGGAGTCAAGGAGAGATAACATGAAGTCATGTTAGAACCTGATTGATATAAATATAAAATTTTATGATGATAACTCTAATAATCTAACTGTCACTCTGCTAGGTACTTCTTATTATCTAAATAAAACAATTAATTTCTTCATGACGATGAACCTATTCTGAAATAGTTTAACATATATATTAAAAAGGAAAAACAATCGACACATGTCAAATTTATTTTGAATTGAGCTAGTCCAACTTTGAAATTTCCAAATGTCTTATCCAAAAGCATTATTATAAAGATTGCATTAATTAGATTCAAATAATAACTTAACAATTTATAAAATATATACATTTGTCAAAATAAAATAAAATTACTTGAATATGTCATAGCGATTTAGTACCTCCAAAATGGTAATACAATAATAAATGAAGGTGAAATTATATATCCACACAAAAATTTTTCTCAATGCCTTATAAATAGGAAAAAAAAATATTATCTCTCTGTCTTAGTGCCTATAAATAATAACAAAAAATATCTTCTCTTTTTACCCTATAAATAGGACTAGATGATTATATTGCAAACCTAGTTGTGCGTTAAATAACTTGTCTAATAATGAGATGTGGTGGTGTGCTTAATTATACACACACACACACAATTTAGAATAAGATACACTGATTTTAGTCACATTCCAATCACAACTGAATTTCATTTAGGTTTTTCATCTTACGTGAACCCACTTACCTACTTAACAAGGCTGCAAATCTATAAATATAACGTACCTATCCTCGGAGTAATCCACAGGAAAGGTTTAATCAAATTTAGTAGAAGTAGGAAAATAATAATAAAAGGAAAAAACATATTCAAAGTGGAACTTTCTTTTCCTCTGAAGATTGGCAACTTTTATTTACTAACCTCCCCCTCCTTTTGTCTTCATATGTTTTTTTTTTTAAACAATTGTTAATTCAATAAAAGAAATTCATACAATTAAGATGTGTGTGTGTATATATATATATATATATCTCTCTCTCCAAAAGGTCAAACACATAATTTCATATTTAATAAGACGTAAAGAAGGTGCTTAGTGTCAGTTGGACCAAAGTAACTATTTTTATGTTATTAGACGGAGATAAATTCATTACTATATGAACATATCCTAATTGATCACACCCCCATATTTTTCATGAAAGCTTTCATTACATAGACTAATTACTGTTAGTATTTTGAATTGAAATAATAATTAGTTATGATATTATAAGAACCAGAGGTAGTAATATTTTAAGTCCATATTTATTAATTTATTAATTAATTCTCTTTTATGATTGGCTACTTCCTTCCAGGACTTCGTTTCTATATTTTAGTTTTCTAATCTCAATCACTGCTCATTGAGTCATTGCGGGGAAGAGGGTGACTTTATAAAATTTTAGGCGTTTGAACAATTCAATGTCACTACATCTATAACTTTCATCAATATTTAATTGAAACCTATCAATTGGGTGAGAAAAATATCAAGTAAGATTAAATATATTTTTTTTAAATGTGGGCAGTGGAGCTAAATTAGAATAAATATTCTTGTGTCTTACCATTGCTTGTACGGAGTTAGCCATTCACTTGATGGTAAAATTATCTATCTGTGAATTGTTAACAAGAAGTCTGCAGTTTATAAATAATTGAAAGATTTGATGAATTTAACATTAAATACTTTAAAATACTTTTTAGCAAAGTATGTATAATTATACATATTTTCTTACCAAAAATTTTTTAAGTTATAAAATTAATTTTTTAAAAATCTGTAGAGAAATATTTAAAAACTTTAAATTTAAAATGTGTGTGCGCGCGCGCGTATATATTTGTTTTCAACAAGTTGGCCCCTCTAGCACGGGCCTACATTCTTGTTAATTTAATTTCACATAGCTACATATATATTTCAGTTTTACCTGGTTGAACTGACCATTACATCATACTTAGTTTATGATTAGCCAATTAAACAAAATCCATATATATTGGCTAATGTTTTCGTCAGGTGAGAACGATTGGCTTGATCATACTAGCATAAAACTTATGTGTATACATGGTAAGATAATTTATTATTAAGTCATGGCAGCTTTGAGAAATGATATAATATGAACATTATGGGTCCTTGAATATTTTTTAATAAATCTGTACATTCAAAAAATGTTGAGAACGACAGAGAGAGGAATTTTTTTTTAATAAAAAAAAACTGTAGCAAGCAAGTCAAAGGTAGTTTCCACGTGATTTGTAAAGTTGAAGTTTTCCTTCTTCCTCTTATAAGCAGGTATATTTCGTCCTAATATCTCTGATAAAGTCATCCGGAACTCAGGCAATGTATGAGGGAAAAAAGAGACTTAAATTTTATTTGGTATAAATGAAAAGAAAATACAGGATAATTATGATAAATTTTCATCATTATCTTCTATTACTTAGAACTAGAAGCTCGGTGTTGCGCCTGTACGAGTCAACAAAAAATGTCCTAACCAACCCCAAAAAAAAAAGCTGCCCAAACAAAATTGAACATTTTTGGACCGAGCTGATTCATGGGTAAGGCAGGATTACAAGATATGCTACCTTATCTATTTGACCCTGTCCGAAAATATATATGTGTGTGTATATTGTAGTATATATAGTGTAATATTATTTTTCAGTCATTTTTTCCTTTTATTTTGGCGAAATAATTTTGGAAAAAATTATAATTATGTAAAAGACCAAATATCAAAATATAAGATTGAAAATACTAAATTGTCCCTAGTAAATTACCTTATTTTTTTCTTACCTCCAATTGTTCTTGGATTGATTAGGGACAATTTAGTATTTTAAAATTTATATTTTGACATTGGATTCTTCAAAATAGTTATAATTTTTATGAGTTTGGTTAATATAATTGAAGTTTTCTTTTCACATGTGGTAAGGGCAGGTAGGGTCAAGCAGCGGGCTGCATTTCTTTTGGATTG